GAATTATTCTGTTCAAGACGTGGAACACACACTGGTTGTTAAATATAAACAAAAAATTAAATAATTAAATAAAAATCATACTTTCAATTCAGCAGCAAAAACTCCTCATAACCAACAAGAGAATGTATCAAAATATTTGTCAAGATACTTCAGACTGAATCTCATTATTCAAATGTTTTTTTTTTTCAGGCTTCTAAAAGCAGTCAAGCAGTTTGCCCACTAGGAGATGCTATAAGGCTCAAGGTAAAACCATGAGTTCCTGCCAGCGGGGGCACTGTGGAAACAGACTTCAGAGTGATGGGTAGATCAGATGTTTGAGGTATAATGAGAGAAGAGAAAAGACTGAGATGTTTGTAAAAGCCCTAAATGGAGCTATAAATGGCACCTTAGCGTGGGTCAGGGTAAATATTTACTGGCYTGATATGTGTTTGCATCATTTCCACATGCCCAACCATATCTGTTTCTTGATCTTTGTCATCTTTCTCCATTCTTCTTCTTCTCCTTTGGAGTGAACGCATTTTGAATACCAAGATGTTGTCAGCAGCAGCAGCAGCAGCAGCAGCAGCAGCAGCAGCAGCGATTCCTCTTCTCCCAGCTGAAGAAGTGGATAAGTTTGTGGGCAGCAGGACTATTCTAATAGACACACATGGTAATTACAGAGGTGGGAGGCAGCAGACAGTGGTGGTCCAGGGACAGCACAAAACAATAAATCACAACTCCAGCTTCTGCCCTCCTGAGCGTATAGCCGATCACGCTCAACCAAAAAGCAATTCTGCCAACATGTGTTTGCACATTTGTCTTCATCAGCCACTGGCTTGTTTTGGGCCCCCGTGGCTGAATTCTGCTCTCCTGTGGCGATCAAACAAGGACTCCTTTTCACTTGTTTGAGCTCAATAATTAAAGCCGTTTGGGATTAAAATAACTCCACATATGTTTATGGTTGCATGTTGAAAGACGAAGAGTAAAGGTGGAAAACGTTCRGGGTGGTTTTGGGTTTGTTTTATGTGAGAGTCTAACAGGAGACAACAGTGAAGGTGTTAGAACAGTAGTGCTGGTGACTCAGAGTACAGTGTGTGTCCTGTTCTGTTTTATCCACACAGACAGCTGTCTGTCAACCAGCTGAGCCCGGGTAGCGGGGGAGAAAAGGTGTCCGCTGAGAAGCTCGTGTCAGCAAGGGGAGAGCAGAGGCCCCCCCCCCCCCCACCTCCAAACGCTGAAGAGCGAGAGCATCTCCTGCCTCAGAGGGATGCTGGCTGGGTTTCAGCAGGGAAACGGAGACCAATGGAAACACAAACAGACAGATCACGAAAACCAGTGACACATAAGGCACACAAACACAGGAAGAGAAGAAGACGGACCCCCAAGATGAAAAACAAAAGGAGAAAGAAGGATGATGCTTGGAGTGATGCGTCTCACCGCTGACGTTTTGTGAGGAGTGGAGTTTGATGTCGTTTTAGAAATGTAGGAAAAATTTGAGTGATCTCATCATTGAGCTGCAAGAAAAACATAAATGAAATTAAAGACTTAAAATGTCTTGAAGGAACGAAAAGAATCTTAAATTGAGAAATGACTGAGTTGTAGCTGTTTTGGGCAACACTAGATTATTATGWAATGTAACACGCAGAYTGTGAGCTCTAAATGACTCACAGCTATCAACACACCAAACTTTAGGTCAATRTYTGCTTGAATTATGGCCATTTATGTGATTTCTAAAGTCAGTTGGCTTTTGTGACCATCTTGAATTAACTTTACTCCAAAAATAAATCATCTGTACACTGATTTTTCTGCAAATAAGGTATTTTGAAAACAATTACCCTAATTTTAATTCTAAGTCTGAGGACTTCAACGATGAGGTCGCGAACCCAACAAAATTTCCTTTTATTTAATTTTTAATGCTTTTTTTTCAAAGTTATGTCTTTAAACACATTTTACCATAAATCCAACATATAGCAAATTGATAAATGGAGGCATAAAATAATGTATTTCAGTCAAAAATGCACACATTCAGTGAGCACGCCTATGAATTGGGGTCCTTGCTCCATCTCTTCATCTCTTTGGGTGTCCCAGACTGAAAACTGCCGAAGACCCCTGCTCTATGATGTCAAAATTTCTAATAGACATCCTGCACAATTCAGTATTAGCCAGGTGTGGGCCAAATTTTAAGTCAATATTTGTAAAACTGACATTTTTGTGTTTGTAAGGGCAGTTAATAGCAGTTGTTTTGAACTGGGTTGACTCCAACATTTAACCACTTGTAGATGTACACACAATGAAAATTTTGTGCAAGTTTGATCAAAATTTGTCCATTGGTTCATAAGATATCTTGGTAACAGACGCATGAACGCACACAGACAAAAACATTTGGTCTACTTTACCCTTTTTGGAGATGTAAAACAAGTTGCCTAAAATCTACGTCTGTCTTTCAAAGGAAACTGGGTGTCTGAGAAGARGACAGCTGAAAACAACGGCAACAAATGAAAAGCGACTTGAATTGAAAGGYAGATAAACAGCTTCAGGGGAGGAAGGAAGTTTGTTGTTGGTGTAAAAGAACATAAAAAGCTTTAAGTTGGTTTAACAAGGCTTGGCAGGCCAGTTTACACACAGCCATTACTACTGAGTGACTCCAGCCAAGAATCTGATTTATACATCCACTACATCACATGATAAATAAAAACATGGCAGATCAAATCTAAGCAAAACAGAAGAYATAAATCTGTCATTTGAAAATCAAATACCATTTTTTGAGTCATCCTTTTTTATACAGAAATGGGATCAGCTRCACAGAAAGTCACAAAGATTTGATTAGAAGACATCATTTCAAACGGTGAGCCTGTTTAGTTTGCTGTCATAATGTAAAAGAACGGGGGTCCTACAGTCTCCTGGTGGGGGTGTTATTTCAGTCGTCTTGACTCAGTCAGTGTCCCCGCTTTTCTCCRTGTCAGGCAGCTTCCTTGTTGTG